TTATCAATTACATGCTCAACCCACCCCTAAAAAAAAAAAAAAAAACGATTATGACATCCGATTTTCCTATCGCGGACCTCGCAAACAATCTATACCATAAATTAGACAGGAGTAAGATTTTTCCTCCTTATCATAACAAGCCGGAAGACTTCCTCCCTGTTCTTAACTCATCCAGAACATGTTGTCCAAGAAGATCTCCGAATAGTTTTCTTCTCTGTCGTAAGAACGTTCACGAAGAGGCTAAGAGGAATGGAACGTTCAATATGCGAATTGTCAGTAAAGTCACGGGAATGTTATGGCGTGGCGCTTCTCAGAGAGAAAAACAATTTTATGAAGATTTGGTACGTAAACTTGGCACGTGAAATTATTTAGCTTTGTAAGATCATAAATTTTCTGAAAATTAAGCCTCATCTTTTAGGCTAAACGCTGCAATAAACTTTACAATGATCGTTATCATTCTATAAATGGACGTCAATCCATGATTCATATAAGGCCATTACCTCAAGATCCCCCTCCTCCTCCTCCTCCTATGCCAGTGCCTCAGCCCAACCCTCAACAATTAAGTTATCCTTCGCCTTCACCAAGCTTTACTGATGATAATGATCATTATTATCTAAGTCCGGATGATATATTGGTTCTTCAAATGATCATTAATAACGCTCTTTATTATAATTTTTTTTAGTCATTTTACTAATTAAACTTAGTGAAATTTCTTAGCTTAAAAGTCAATCATATCCCAGAGTTTTTTAAACACAGAATCTTGATTAGATTATACATGGTCTTCCCTTTATGTCAACCAATTCAATATTTTTTAACTGATTATCCGAGATTAAAAAAAAAACTTTAAAATAAGTGAAAGAATAAACTTTAAGAATTTTTTTTCACAAAAATATAAAAAGTTACAGTATATTATGTTTATAAATATGCTATCAAAATGTTTTTTTTTTTTTTATTATGGTTTTTAAGAGTTAAATAATTTATTAATTCTAATAATTATGTAGTTATGCCATTAAGGGATATTTTTTTATGATTAATAAATATAAGCTCTATGTTAAATAAGTTTTAAAAAATAAGATTATGGTAAATTTCATAATTATATAAAGAATCATATTTATAAAATATTAGTCATATCATGAAGTTTGTTTTGTCAGTGTAAATAATTGCAGTTGTGTGTCACTGTAAAGCAATCATTTACGCTAACAGAATAAATTTTATGATCTTTGACAAAGGTATCTAGTTATGTTTTTGGTGAAATTAAAAATCTATTGGATACATATTATTTGGGTGTACGATCTGTAAGTTTGTTCAAGTAGTAATGGCAATGATACTTAGAATTATTAACATCCTTTGAGCAATCTTTAAGAACGATGATGATGTGAATGTACATTGCCGCGAACGATTACCTTCGATCTTGCTTTGAATAAACTTTCTCTTTCAAAATTTTTTTTATTTTATTTTGTTATTTTAATATACTGTATATATTATTTTTTAACATTATTATGAAACTCTAGTGCACTAAATACTGAGATCATAATGCGCACTCAAGTAAGAATTATGTGAGGAAACGAAAATTTAATCTCCACGTTAAAATCTGATTCATGACTTTTCGTGGAATATTCGAAAAAAAGATTGGCTACACGTGAATTTTCGATCAGATGATCTACAAACTTAAATACGTACTCATTGTAAATTCAGATGAAAAATTCTCGATAACCACTTTAAGAAATTTGGCTGTGGCGCAGGACAAGAATAACCTTATTCGGCTGCTTTTCTCCGACCCTTTGATATTGTACGATATATTTCTGTTACGTACGTACGTACCTGATACGGTGGCGTTATACTGTAGGGGTAGTATATTAGTACAGTACGGTAGTATAAGTTAGTATGGACATTAAAAAAAAAATAAATTAAAAAATCATACTCAGACGTACACATGCGTAGTACATAATC